CAGCCGAGCGCCGGCCACGCCCACGGCCGCGGCGCCGCCCGCCTCCTTAAAGGCGCCGCGCGCGGGGAGCCGGGGAGAGGGCGCTGGCCCTTTAAGGAGGCGCTGCCGCCCTAAGGGGGCGCTGCCGCCATGATGGGGGTTCCGCGGGAGAGCCGAAATGTGCAAATCTGAAGTGAAAAAAAAGGACACGAGCTCCTTCCTGTCCACTGTAACTGAGACAAAGGGGAGGAGGTGACACCTCCAGAGACAGCCCCAAAGCTGCTTCCTCCCACACCACACGTGCCGCTCTGTAGTGCGCGCCTCGTCGCCCCGTCATGCCGCCCTGTTCGCCTGTTGTCACCCGCTGTGGTGACACTCGGAGCCGTGTCCTGGGGGCGGCTGCCTGGAAACCGGCGGCATTCCCAGGATAGCTGCGATCTGAGCCATGGGCCTGGAAGCGCAGGTGCTGGAGGCTCCTTGCCCGATAAACAGCTCAGGGTAGTGAGCCAAAGCGCCCCGAAACGTGCGGGGCCCGTGGGCAGCAGGAGCTTTTCAGCCTTCTTGGTTCCTTCAGTCTAATGAAGGCCCCTTCAACTTATATTTACTATCTAATACAACGTTAGATACCATGAGAGAGTTTGACATTATATCCAGCACAGTGGGTGCAATAGAAACTGCATGTGAAGAAACATGATTTTTGATATGATAAACTGAACATGCTCCAGTGCATGCTCCAGAACTGCTATGTGCTAAAGGATTTAGAGATCCCCAGACTCTATTTGGTGCTTCTGAACAAGCCGACGCTGCACCAAGATGTGACTCCAGTCGAGACGACACAGGAATCCCCTATTTAGAAACTGGATTTACTGCACACCTCGTCTGCCGCCCGGCTGTTCTGCCGGCACCGCTGCTTGTTCTCAGCTCGTGCCATGGAGATTTACTGTCATTTCCCTTCTGTAATTTTCCAGTAATTGCTCTGGTTTTGTGTTATTCCTGTTGCTATTACATCATTGCTCTTCATCATTAATAGGAGTGAAGAGTCAGTCAAATACAACGTAACCAGAAAATGTGTTTGGAGTTCAGTGGCAAGGCTCTCTCCATAATGACTGGCCTCATAACTTGTCTCAGCATTTTTGGCATGCTTTTATCAGGAAATTTGTTGTGAAGTAACACAGGAATATTCAAGCAAGATATCTAAGTAATATATCTTTATGAAAACGTAGATGTTACATAACACTTTTCCACACATAATTGACTTTACAAGTCAGAATCTTTGCTGCAATAATGTCTCAGACTATAATGATGTTTTGAGGATGAAGAAATCTTTTTTTTTTTTTAAAGTTTTATATGTTGCACAAGAGCAAATTCACTACACATTTTACAGATTTTCACTACAAATAATTCAGAGTTCGTGAGTGGGATAGTTCCAAAATATATTGCCCTCTAACGGACACCAATATACGAGTGAGAGGCAATTGCTTATGCATGATGGAAGCTGTAACATTTAATATTATTGCAAATGTAGAAATGCTCTGTAGCATAAATATAATGAGAAAAGTTGGGACCTGATCATGAATCTCATTCAGAAAAGAAGCCAAGATGATTTTAAATATATTATAATAAACTAAGGGCATGGTATGTGAAGTATTAAGTGACCTAGTTCTTCAATACGTTGGCTTTTTCACATTACGTTCTAAAGCTGCTGAGATTATGAAGATGAGATAATATGGTAGTTGATAGGAAGAACAGAAATTTAAATATCAGGAAATACTTTATTAGTTCTTTGAAATTAAAAATTGTGTCTGTTCAGTGTGTAACACAGAGCATGTTTATTACTTGAGGAATCTGTGCACAGTTTCTAACTGTGCTGGGTGGGAAATGTGTGTTGTGAATTTTGAGTGCATATGGTTTGCTTTCACCAATGAGTCTTCTTCTAAAGCAAAAACAGTGGAATATTAAAAGTATTAAAAGTTGATATTTTGGAATTCAAATGGGAGTGCACTGCTAGGATAGCTTAAGCCAAAGGAAGCCAGTCCAGGTATGCCTGTTTCCTGTTTATGGTTTTGGAGTGAGATAAATTTCCAAATAGAAAAACAAAGAACTTAGATGTTAATATAGCACCTTGGAGGACTTAGGTAGCAGGAATAGAGGGTATTTTGGAGAAAAATGAGGAAGCGGGGAAGACACTGCCGTGATTTTGTAGCAAATGGGGAAATTTAACAATAACCCGGGCTGAACAGGAATAGACATGCATGGGGAGAGCAGAGGCTGCACTGAGCAGCGAGGTGCCCGTTGTGCTCCCGAGGAAGCTCAGCCCGTTCCAAGCGTTGGTGCTTGTGCTGGTGCACGAGGTCGGCAGCGTTAGCGCCTGTTCTCCGCTAGACTCCCGTCCAGCCACCCTCTGATGAGGCGCTTTTCCATTGGGATGGTGTGATGCACGGTCATTTGGATGTGTGTGGGTGAAAATCACATTCGTGGCTCCTGCTGGGTGCGGGATTGATAACCCCAGCAGCGGGAGCAGGTTGTTTGTTCCCAGGACAGATGAAGCAGCAGGGAGTGACAGCACAAACACTAACGTGTTTCACTGCAGCGTGGAGGGTAACTGAGCCCTGTGTCCAAACAGCTCTTGGCCTTTGTGCTCCTTCTCTGCGTGCTGGCGCTGTCTCTAAAGACACACAAAGCTTATTTTACAGAAGTCACCTACTGGTCTCACCTGGCAGTCCTTATGGACCTGGGTTGCATTTGAAGCACCAACAGTCGTTGCATCCAGCGCCAGTTCCCTGAGATCTGTCGTGACGGATCACTCGCCGTTTGGGAAACAGACATTTCCATTTATTTCTAGGCTCCTTTTGTGGTTTTCAGCAAAGTTCCTACTCCTGACCCTGTGCAGAAGGTACCTTGTGCTCTCAGCTGGAGGTTTGCTTTGCAGTGAAGTGCAAATCATTCTGTGTAGAGCTGTGAGCTGTAAGATCTTGTGAGATGAAGAGCATCTTCTCTGCCCCTGGGCATGGGACCACCCTGCTGGTGCTGCCAATTGTGTGATCCAAGGGAAAAGGGAAGGGAAGGGAAGGGAAGGGAAAAAAGAAGGGAAGGGAAGGGAAGGGAAGGGAAGGGAAGGTAGGAGAGGAGAGGAGAAGAGAAGAGAGAAGAGAGAAGAGGAGAGTCTGTTCTTTGGCTCAGAGCATGTGATCACCCGGCTACTTGTCGTGCTCTCCGTGTGACACCAGGTCCTGGCACAAGCCTCCATCCATGGTCACTCAATGAGAGTGAGCGCAGATGCTCTGCCCGTGTGAGTGAATCCTGTACCACGGCTGGCAGCTCCTGCTGGAGAGCAGGCGCCGCAGGAACTTGTTTGGGGCTGGAGGCCAACACGTAACGGCTTCCTTAGGGTAAAGATCTGCCACGGTAAGACGCAGAATGGGTGAAAGCTGCTTTTCCAATGGATTTCTCCCGCCAGGGACCTGCTTTGAGTCTGTTCTTTGGCTCAGAGCATGTGATCACCTGGCTACTTGTCGTGCTCTCCGTGTGACACCAGGTCCTGGCACAAGCCTCCATCCATGGTCACTCAACGAGAGTGAGCGCAGATGCTCTGCCCATGTGAGTGAATCCTGTACCACGGTTGGCAGCTCCTGCTGGAGAGCAGGTGCCGCAGGAACTTGTTTGGGGCTGGAGGGCAGCACGTAGCGGCTTCCTTAGGGTGATGATCTGCCATGGTAAGACGCAGAATGGGTGAAAGCTGCTTTTCCAATGGATTTCTCCCGCCAGGGACCTGCTTTACAACGTTCAGTCAATGGATGGCACTGCTGGCTTTTCACAGCTGAGCTGGGTTTGGTGCTGCCTGCTGCAATGCACTTAGGATTCGTTGCTCAATTTAACCCATGTCTGAAAACTTGCTGTGCCCAAGTATTTCCTGTAGCAGTAGTGAGGCAGCCAGCTCCTGGGGACAAGGAGGGGTGGGTGCCACGGGCCATGGAGGAGCCCTGTTAGTCACTGAGCCCCCAGCCAGGCCTCACGTGTCACTCCCCAGTTCTCCTTAGCACAAGCCTTGCCCGGCCGCACTTGGGGAGGAGACAGAAAACAGAGCGAGATTGCTTTAACGGAGGAGTATGTTACTGATAAGAGCTCAGCCTGGTTGGGCTCCGAGATAAGCAGGGGTCATGGTTCTGCCCAGGCCTGAGCTAATGAGGTCTGCTGAGAACAAGCTGTATCATTTCAGGCTCATGTGGTTACCTGGCTCCAATATAACTTGGAGCTGCTGCCAAACATGATCGTATCTTCTGGGAATACAGGCAGTTACCAACTAAATTGTTGACAGTTTTTTACTGCTAAGGATTTTTTTTTCCTCCTGTCCTTCAGATCTATATCCAGTTGCCAAAATCCACTTTCAAGAAGCACTAAAAAAAATCCGCTGCGGTAGCAAGCTTGAAAAAAAAATGATCATCTGCACGAGGTAAAGAGAGAGGAGGGCCATTTTGCGTTGCAAAATCCAGTTTTGCCTGTTTTTGGGAAACCTTCAGCTGTCTCTGACAATACTACAGGCAAAAGAATTGTACTGAGAAAAAAGTGGGCAAAATTCGGGCCTTTAAGAGTGTGCACGGTTTTCAGTAAATGCCTTCCCAACCCTCGCCTTCCCACAGTGAACAAGATCCTATCTGAGGTGCAAGTAGTGCACCTCATCTCCTGGCTTCCTGCTGGCTTTATGCGTGACTCACTTTAATAAAACTTTTTATCCTCAACTTTATTTTCACAATGGAAGATACAGAAGATGATGATAGTTCCATAGCTGGCTTATTCAGGAGAAGTTGTCTCAAAGGAGCAGTCCTGCTCGTTGAGAGAGTGAAAACTTCGAAGATGGTGGCACGGACATGGACCTGTTACTGAAAGTGTCCTAAGTTCAACGCTTGGAATCTTTAGTTGAAAATGGTCAAAAATCAGGACCCTGAACTGCTTTTGTATTGGAAAAGCAAGCTGTGCAAAGCGATGCAGGATCCCATCTCTATTGCTTTCTGCATTTCTCCCTTCAGGCTCCCCTTTCTTCTGTGTGTGTTTTAGTAGGTGACTGACGAAACAGTCACCTGCTAAAACACAGATTGTTTCCTACATGGATTTCCAGAAAAAGTTGTTATTTTAAAAAGATCCAATACTGTATAGTGCTGCTATAAACTTCAGGACGTTAAGCGTTACTATTCTGTCCTAACCCAAGAGGCAAATAAAGAGCATTAATGTTTATCAGTTGCTGGTAATGGTCATGTGAATTCAGCTTTTAGATGCAGCCCTTGGGCTTTGAAAAAGTCGGTGGATAATGTTTGAACCTGCAAACATTGTGCATGTGGCTGT